AAAGGAAGGTACTAATGCAGTTCCTCACTACACAAATTGTGCAAACCAATTTTCCACATATGGGGAAATCGCAGAAGTGAGCACATGTGGAGTGCAATGCATAAGCCCTGCCCTGGGAAAACCACCTTTGTGATTGTGGTATCTCCCCTGCCATGTTGAGTATATATATTTTTCCCTAGTTTCTTAAAATGCAAGCTTAGATGATTGATTTGAGACTTTTCCACCTTTGTGATGTAAGCATTGAATGCTATAAATTACCTTCTCAGTACTGCTTTACCTGCCCAGAAATGTTGGTGTATTCTATTTTTATTTTCATTTACCTCAACACATTGTTTTTCTTTGTAAGACTTTTTAAAACTCTGTATTTTTTAGAAATATGTTGCTTAATTTCTTAGTGTGATAATTTTGTATGATTTGTCTGCTATTTAACTCTAATTTGATTCCATCAGCGTCAGAGAACAGATTCTGTGTGATTTCATTTAAAAAAATATGTGGAAGCTTGCTTTATGGCCCAAAATATGAGCAATAAATGAAATAAGAATATTGGTAGAAAAGGAATGCTAAACAAAAATTGGCAAACTCAGTTCTGAATAGAAAGAAAACAATCAAGAAATCTTCAGTGTCAAAAATTTAAGTACATCATTGCTAATTACCTGCTTAATGTGTTTCTTCTTCTGAATTATGCTATTATAGCCTTTTCTTATCCCTTAAATAAAAGGTTTTTGTTATTCCAAAGAGCTTATTACACTTAAAGTATAAGCATTGAAGACGAATGTCTTTCCACATGCAGTGCAAGAAACAGAGAAAGAATAGCCACCAGATCCTACATAAGTATTAACTGGCTACTTAGGGCTGATAATTATACATAGTAAATGACAGGAAAATGCAATCTCACACCACTGCATCAAAATCTACAAAACTGTGGTACTTGTTGACACATTATATGATATAGACTGGAACATGACTTGCAATTATCAGAACTTCCTAAAATAAGAGAGCTAGAGACCCGTATGTTACATGTAAAGTATAAAATACATGTATTAAGTTTAATTTGGGTTTTTATTACAACATGTAAATAAATTGGTCCGTTAAATATAATTTTAAAGGTTGATTTGGCTTCTGTTTAATTTGAACCTCAAATTATATTTTATTTAGTTTTGAAATATAATTAAATAACCTTGCATGGTCAAGGATCTTTTGAACCTATATTACATGTTTGCATTTTAAAGCACCATTTCTCAATAGTGTGTTTGAATTCTTAACATTAAAGACACATAGAGAGACCTCACATATACAACCTGTCATCCGTCTATGAAAAAAAGAAAACTTATTTTAGCCGTCATGTTATCAAAAAACCATATTTCATACTGATGGGTCATAACAAAAACACACTTTCAAAATGATTTTAAGAAAAACCCCAAGGCGTGTTTTTTGTGTTTAAAGGGACTAGGAAGTACAAAAATGAAACAGGAGTCATAAACAGTGTTTGATATACTTGATGAGGCCAAAATTCCTCTGTGGCATTTACTCCAATTTCTACAAAATAACTTAGAAATCAGAAAACCTTTGCTATCAAGAAAAACTACAAAATGGCTGAAACAAAATAGAAAGATATCTTCTTGCTTTCAATTTACTATTTTCCTACTTAAAGCATATTAACACTTTAATATTCTTATTTATATACCATGTGTTCTACTATTGCTTAGAATTTTCTAAATTTAAATTTGCAAATTTTTTTACTATTATTGAAATATTACTGAAATTGCAAATCTTTTCAATATTACATGCAGTACAAATTTGTTACACTTAAAAAAGAATGAAGCATTTAAGGTACATTTTAATCAAACTGAAAATAAATGTTGGAATAATTGTAATAAGGAATCAACATGAAGGTGAAGTTACTAATTACAGAGGATTTTGCATAGAGAAAGACAAACTATGCAGTGAATTGTGTATTCGTATGAAAAGATACTTGATGGAATTGGTTAATAAATTCAAATTTGGTACTAGTACAAATGTATTCAATAGCTAATCATGTTTCATGAAAAAGTAAAATGTAAAACCTGCCTTTGTCATTGTTTGTCCACTTTTAAAATAAGTTTAGGAGTGTAAAAGTAAAAAGAAATTTGTATATTAGATGTTCATCTTTTTTTTCTGTTTCAGTATATCATTTTGCTAAATTAGATTTTTACAGTAACCTGATAATTGAGATTAAATCCTTGTGTTATTTGGCTATTGCCACAAAAATCCTGCATATTAATTATTCTAAAATTCACTGCTTAAAATAATCATTTATTCTCATTAATTTCCAGAACAATTGAGTGTTAGTCAATACAGATTGAGTTTAGTTTGCTGGCCCTGCTGAGCTATGTAGCCCTACCACATGTGCCTGGGGTCTTAGCAGAAACTAGTCAGAATTCAGCTCATAAGTTAGGGCTCTCTGAGTATTTTTTGCCCTCTTGAGAAAAACAGACTACATCAACTATGTTTTTCTCTTAAAAGTTTCAGATGTTTTGGAATAGATTCAATAGTGAAATAATTTTTTAGGCCTGGGCTTGGTTCTTGAATGTTCATTCCCAGAGCAAATTCTATAGCTAAACTTTAACTGTAGGAGTGGAGAACTATTTCCCAACTAAGGTGCATGGCAAAAAATATGTGATTTTGTGATCCCGTTATTGAGGGAATGTAGGCTGTTGAAACAATTGTCCATTCTAGTTTATGCTCTAAAACTAAAAGCATAACTAGACAGTACGTATGTTTACTTGTTATTCTAAGTAGACGTTCCAAGATGTTGTCACATACATATTCGTAGGATCTTTATTAAAACCCGAGAAAGACTGATAATAGGATTCCTGAGAAAAACAGGTGATGATTATATATAGGGAAGAGTAGTCTGTATATATAATTGTGTGTATATGTGTATATGTATATATATATATATATATATATATATATATATATATGCCCTATATATAAACCAAAGAACCAAGTCTCATTGATCAATTGCCTGACTTGGTTCTTTGATTTATATAGTGGCAATGATGATCCACTTTTTGTGATTATTTAAACATGGAGATAAGACAAAAGGAAAGTATTTGCAGGGGAATAAAGACTCTCCCTTGTCAACCTAAATGCCTTTATTTCATAAGAGAAGAGTGCATTGGGCACTACGTATGCTAGCCATTATGTCAAGCCATTAAGAGAGCATTCAGCTAAGAGAAAGCCCTCTGCAGTAGCTAGATCACAAAACAATGGAAGTTGAGAAGTGGTAGAGGTCAAGTCAGAGTCCTTAGGAACCTGGGAAATGGACAAGTCCCTCACATGGAGTTTTTCTAAGAACTCATATATGTGTGCAACAAGAAACCAAATATTGGCCATATACTCCCTGAAAAGTATTATCAAGTAAGCAACAACAGCCAAGAGGGGAAGAATTTACCACTAGTTAGGTAAAAATGCTTCTATTTTCCTAATCTATTTATGTAGTTTTTTCATTTTGAGTCTCAAATGCAGCAAATGTTAAAAACATTTTTACAAGTGCATTGAAATAAAGGGAAATAATTATCATATGTCCAATCACTGTTTCCTAAAGTATGACACCTCTCTGAAATTTGGAGGTAAAGAGGAGCTAGAGTATTCAATTGGATTAGCAAATTTAGTTTTAAACTCACTGATTTGGAGAAGACCAACTTTCTAAAAGTAAGTTTTCCAAAAGTTATACAGCCTTTCCAAGGAGTGGGAAAGGAAATTTAACAAATCACAGTAAAAAAAAGAAAAAAAATTGGAGAAAATTAGAATATCACAGTTCTACGACTTTGAGATGGAAGGGTCACCTTGCCCAAGAATGGATTGGCTTCCCAAATTGCTCCATGAAAAATTGCAACAATCAAATTGTAAGGCAATCAATTCACTAGAGAGTTGAAGGTAGCAAATCAAGTCCCTCACCTACCATACTACATGTATGCTTAGGCCTTAGTGCCTGAACATGGCTGAAAAGAGTCTGATGTTTTCCAACCATGAATATTCAGCTGGCAAAACAGAGTGGAAGCCTTTTCCATCTTACTATGCTGTTGGATCTACCCCAAGATAACAGCAGGGAAGGGTAATTGTTTCAACAGTCATATGGCTTAAATTCTCCATCCTAAAACAAAGAACCTCTTCTTTAGGCTCTGAAGCCCTTTCCTTCTAACCAAATATGATAAGAAGCAGGGACCTAAACCTCTACAATCACTCCTTTCTCCTTGTATGTTCCTATTAGTAGGATTGTTTCTACAATTCATATTGTAGAATTTTCCTCCAGAAAAATCTAAATTAACCCTCTTCCCCTGACTGGCAAAAACATGTACTTTTAGAATAAAGTCTACCATCACCATATTCACTCAAATTTGACTCCTGCTTGCTTCTCTCTCTTGCATCCAAATCTGTGATTAATACTCTTTTATCTTTGTTCATTGCAGTATGAGTTTCCCTTTATCATAACATTTGTAGCATTAACTTAGGAGTCGGCATGTTCATTTTCCGTGTTTTATTTATGTCCTATATTTTTTGACTCTTCCATCATTAGGTGTTTGACTTCAGCAAATGTGTTCAATATATTTATATTGCTAGTGGCTTTCAGGGTACCTGAAACATTGTAGAAATTCCATATATTGGGGTAGAATGCAATAAGTAAAGTTTTGCCTCTTTAAAGCATCACTATGTGACAGCTACTGTGGTGGGTGACTTACAGATATAATCAATATATTTGGACAACAAACGTACTATATTGGTAGGATGTCTTTCTAATTATCTGCCTACTATCTACCCCTGCTTACTTTTTGCTGCCAGAGGCTGTAGTTTATTTGGGCATCCACCACTCTCAAGCCCTTACTGACCTTATCTAAGCACTATGGTTTCAGCACACCTGCCAGAGATTAGAATAGATGTGAAATATATGATGCAATCCTGTTTGGGAAGTAATTAGGAACTCTCTGTAAGGGCTTCTGGGAAGGGTTTCCTTAACTTTATAAAACAGGAAGCAAAAAACTGAATGTCAAAATTGCTGTATCATGTTGAGTCAATAAATATTACTAAATTAAAAACCAGGTGGAGGCCAGGCATGGTTACTCATGCCTGTAACCCAAGCACTTTGGGAGACTGAGAGGGACGGCTCACCTGAGGTCAGGA